TAATTTTATAAATATAATATCACTAATAGTAAAAAAACAATAATAAACAAAAAAAATAAATGTATATCTATACAAACTTCATGTATAAATAAATAAATAAGCATGTATATACATTGTTTTCTATTAAGGATTTGGCTCAGTATTTTGTCTGTTTTTAATTTCAAGTTTTCTATGAATTTTAACCTTATCACTTAGTTTCAATATTAAGGCTCAATCTAACTAAATTCATAGCGTATTTCACCATTTCTCATCTTTTAAGATTAGTATCTTATTATTGCAAGATAAACATACTTCAAAATCAAATTGTAACATCTAAAATCTATAATTCATAATATAAATTGACTCATGTATCATATTCTCTTGCATACACTATCGTAAATTGCTTTTGAGTTTATGGATACCGGAAAAATGAACGAAATGAGAGAGAATAAAAATAGACAAAATAAAATAGGGCAATGTGGAAGAACTCTTTTTCATAATAATAGAATAAAATAATAACAAAAAAAAATCAAAATCAAATCTCAACTATACACTCATCTTTTAGGTACATCAAAGGTCAGAAAATATATGCCACCAACATCTTGAGATGTTTTCGAGATTGAATAATATTTGAAAGATGTTTTGAGAGAACTAAAAATAAAGAAGTAGTGAAAAGTGCTGTGGAAAAAATGGTGGAAGAAACCTATTTTTATAGCAGTAGGGAATAAAAAGTTACAAAAGCTTTTGAAATTACTAAACTCTTCAAATTCTAGTATGAATTACAATTAGAAAAAAATAATTTTATGTCGTAGGAAAACTTTTTGCATTCTAATATTTTAAATCCTATACATTTATTTGTATTAATAATTAAAGGAAAAATTAATTTTATGTTGTAACAAAACTTTTTGCATTCTAATCTTTTAAATTCTATAAATTTATTAGTATTAATAATTAATAATTAATAATAAAAATTACAAAAACTTTGGGAATTCTTAAACTCTTTGAATTCTATTATGAATTACAATTAAAGAAAAAAAATTAATTTTATGTTGTAGGAAAACTGGTTGCTTTCAAACTTTTTAAATTCTATAAATTTATTATTATTAATAATTATAATTAATAATTAATTCAATTTTTATAATAATAGATTAATGATATAGTTTGTAAATTAATAAATTTAGTAAGGGACAAAAGTGTCCAAAAATATTTTTCCTACATTCTCCCTTTTTAATATAACGTAGATAAATTTTGTGCCGAATTGAACTTAACATATATGTCGTGACTCTTAAGTTTTTTTAAAACAAAAAATGATAGAGAACTCAAAATAAAGATAAAGTGTAGCTCAAAGTATTAGTAAAAAATTATAGAAGAAAATGCCTATTTATATTAGTAGATGATAAAAAGTTACAAATATTCTAGAATTCTAAAACTTTTGAAATTTTATTATCAATTATTATAAGTGAAAATAATAAAGCTATTCATACAATTAAATATAACAACTATTTATATATTTTAACTTTTTAGATTTCATGTTGTCCTAAAAAAAATAAACTTTTTAAATACCATGCAATTGTCAGGGTCGATATATACTATTTATAATTTATTAATTAATTTACTATCTAGCATTAATTTAGAATAAAATATCAAAGATGAAAAGGATTAGTTATTATTAATGAAATAATTAAGCTCTTCATAAATTAAACAATTTTTTACCCATCCTAACTTTTTAGATTACATGTTATCCTAAAAAATAAACGTTTTGTAACGATTTGACAATAAAGACGGTATTGGTGGGTTCCATTTTGTTATTTTTTTTTTCTATAATTTCGTATTCTTGGGTTTTACTCCTATGTGATATCTATTATTCTAGATTTTTTTTCTTTTTTTTTCCCGAATTTTAATGCGGTTTGTTTCTTTTTTCTTTTAACTTTTTCTTTAAGATTTTTTTTCATGTTTTTTTTGTTTTAAGTTGTATTCTTTTAATTTGAAGGTTTTGATTTTTATAATAACTAATAATAGTTTATTTCAATGTTAGTGCTGTAATATATATATTTTTTGTTTCGTTTTGTTTTTTTTTTTTAATTATTTAGATTTTGTAAAATTTAATAGGACTAATTTAAGTTTGAATATAAAAAAATATTTTGTTTAAGCTATTGAATCTCATCCGTTGTAAAGAAAACCAACTAAATCCATACCACTTCGACACCAATTTCAAATGTGTTTAGAGTGTGAGCACTACTCATATCTGACTTATTTCCTTTTCTTAAATTTCTTTTTGTTTATTTTTTCTTTTTTTCCTTATATGTTGATATTTATTATTTAAAATTTATTAATTAATTTACTATTTACCATTACTTTTCTATGATATGTTTTGTAAATTTATAAATTAAAAAAGATTATAATAGTCTAAAAATATTTTTTCAATATCTAATAAACATGCTAAATTTCTTATAAAATTTGAAACCATAAGACATTTGAGTTATCAAATACAAAAAAATAAAATAATAATATAGCAATTATAAAATAACAAAAATAGAACAATGGTAAGAAAACAAAAAACAAAAAAAAAAGTTAGAAACTAAATCAATACAGACATCCTTGGATATAGATGAGTCTTTTTAGACAAACATCGATTGGTCTTATTGACAAACATTGTTATGTAACTTCATAAAAGTAAAATTATAACAATACAACCTTACAAATCAAGATACAGCTTCGATGTATAAATTTTGTTACAACTTGAACGTATCAGGTACGTCTTCAATTGCTTTCAAGATTAGAGAGATTTTGAAAGAACGATGGAGGGAGAACCAAAAAGAATGAAAAATGTAGATTGACTATTGGTTAAAAATGGTGGAGGAAAAGACCTATTTATATAGGTATAAGATGAAAATGTTACAAATCTTTTGGAATTCTACAAGTTTTGAAATTTTATTATTTATTATTATTAGTGCAAATAATTAAGCTTTCATAAATTAGATAACACCTTTTCCAATATTCCACCTTTTTTGAATTCCATTTAATTGTTATGGTTAAATAATTAAGTAAATATTTATTATTTATAATTAATTAATTAATTTTCTATGACATGGTTTGTAAATTTATAAATGAAAGGAATGATATAATAGTCAAAAATATTTTTCCAAGATTCCCACTTTTTAATATAGTATAGATGAGATGTCTTTCTCACATTGTTACTTTGAATCTCTCAATTTAATTGAATTATTGTAAATAGACCGTATTATTTAATTTAGAAGATAAGAAAAAGGATAAATGAAAAGAAAAAAAAGTTCAATTTTCTGCCGCTTGCAGCATTGGATTGTGC